TTAATTTTTGGTGCCATTTAATTTTTTTTATAAGTGTTCATTTGTTTGAAATTGACTAGATGCGAGTAGATAGATATATTTTGATTTACACCATTAAATATTCAAAATTCATTCAAAGTGATGTCATATTTTAAATCTACAAGTAAAAATACATTTATAAATAGAATTTCGAAAATTGTTTATCAACTTTGAAAATTTAATTGTTTAAATAATGAAAAATAGAATTTCGAAAATTGTTTATCAACTTTGAAAATTTAATTTTTTTTGAAAATGTGATTTCTAGTTCGGGGAGATTCCTCATAGAGCCCATGTTATTATTATAAAATCACAAAAAGTTAAATCTTTTCTTGTATTCGACAGATAACCTTTTCTTTTACTGGACATATTTTAATTTGCATAACTCTGAGATACATAAGGGTGATATGAAAATTGAACCACTAAAACAGATGAATATTAAGGGAACTTTCTCCTTACCCGCCATGCTATCTGACCCGAACGAGCCACCTGGTGGTGAAACTGGTAACTACCTACTCGCATCTGAGTCATTCATTTTATCAGTTTAACATTTGTAAAAGCTCAAGAAGTTAATTCAATTTTATAACTACTGACTATAGCTGACTAGGTGAGGAATTATTTCAAAACTGGTATTTTCAGAAAAGATCAAAGAATATTTGATGGTTCTAGTAAAATAGTTTTATAAAGTAAGACAGAATTATAGGTTTGTTCAATATCAGAATCACCCAGCCTGTTAAAGGTACTGTGTACCTTTTGGTTTTATAAAGTAATAAATATATGATACAAAGAAACCCTTTCAAATATATAAACTCTGGGGCATTCAGGTTCAGTAGTGTTCTTTTACAAATAGAGAGGACTGATACAGTAATTATATTGCAAATTAAAGGACTGGAACATGAACAGCTAAAAGTGTAGAATTATAGAATGTTCAGATAGAAAAAATTATCTGTTGATATAAGAGTATTCATCTAAACTCTCATATATACGTAATATGTAAATAAGTGTTAAAAAACACAAAATGTTGAGATTTACGTATTCATACATCTTCATCGGGTATATCGAAAATCCATAAATCTAAACATTTTGTTTTGTTTTTAACTCTCATAATTATGTAGATAATAAATTGTCATGGAGATTACTCAGCTAAATGTCCAAATACAGCACTGTTAAACTTTTTGTATTCTCCACAAAACAACTTTTTATATATTTCATCTATATGATAGAATACCTAATAATGCCTTAACAATACAACTTATAATTCTATTACCTTGATTTGGATCTGATTTATATACATGCACATTAAACAGCGTTGTTTGATGTTTGAGTTATTATGTTCCTATAGAAAACATGTCTGCTAGCTTCGTGGGAATGTTCTAAAAACCCTTCGCCGCTTCGACCCTACGCCCCTTCGAGTACTGGGTGTCAAAAAATTTTTGCAATGGATTTCATGAAACGGGATTATGAAAAAACCCTTCGACCTTTGATTTTTTATTTCAGTCCCGTTTTTCTAGTTAATACATGGTTACGTATAGTTCTATTCCGGGTTCCCCTGTGTAGTGTGTACTTGCGTAAATTGGACTCCAAATGACACGCTATTTAGCTGTTTACCTTATTTCTTTTCCCTACATAAAAATGATCAGTCCCTAAAACTTTTGATAATTGCGCATGCGTATCTAATCTGGGTCACTCAGGTCAACATGGTCAAGATGGAGGGGACTCGTGAACATTTTAGTAGAACATTTTAGTTTTACACCTACCTTCAGCTTACGATCATATCACGTTGAACACACCAGTTCTCGTCCGATCACTGAAGTTAAGCAACGTCGAGCTTGGTTAGTACTTGGATGGGTGACTGCCTGGGAATACCAAGTCTTGTAAGCCCCCTTTTATTTTTTCAACTCCTCAATCGTCTCCACTCAACCAGAGCGCACTCACACAGGTACTAGAGTGCACCCAATCGCCTTTTTATTTCACTTCCCCTGTATATTGTGCTCTCAGCACAACCCACGGATGAGTGCTTTGCTACATCCGTTTGACTGTTCATAACTGCTCTAGTTTTACACCTACCTTCAGCTTACGATCTTACCTGTTTCAGAAAATTATTCTGCTCTACATAGTCTCAAAAATCACTCCGCCATCTCTAAAAATTCTGTTTCAAACCAAACTTGTAAATCTTTCCTGATAGATTAGCACTTACCCTATCGAGAAATAACCTTGATTCATTTATCAAACACTAAATGGTGCTGCGACGGGCCAGAAAAGGAGAAAGGGCTTTTTTATACAGGAAACCAAATAACCAATGGTAACCGCTACTATCCCTACTCCGAACTATATTTCTAGCTGTCTGTTGTCTCGTTAGCACTATTTTTTAACCTCGACGGAAGGCTCTCAGCGCACGTCATTGCCTTTTGGGGACTCAGCTGTTAGATTGCTGCACAATTAAATCATATGCTTCCACATTATGTTAGGTCTAATTTGATGAGATATTTACTCCACAGATGTTGGCCAGATTGTTTTGTAGTAGGATCATAGGCTCAAAGAATAATTATATTGAGCTACTGATTCTACTACAAAATAATCTTGCCGGGATCTATGAGATACTCCAATAAAACATTGACATGCGTATGGCTCGAGGTATGGTATGTTATGGTTTAAACATTTTCAACTTTCAAATATGGCGCCAGTATCGTGTAAAAGTAGGTCAGGTTGCTGCCTCGTTTTGAACAACTGAGGTTACAAAATTTTGGTCGGGAAATTCGCAGGTAGTACGGTCGTGTTTCGTTCAGTGGACAAGCTACATAGGGACCGGCTATTTTGTGGATTATCACTCTCCCATGTATACCATTCCGTATTAGTGAAATTGTTGACATTAATACGGAATAAATCATACCATTTCATGAAAAATGGTGACCTTGTCCTACAGAAATTGATATTATGTTTCACAGCAAATTCGCACGGCAATACTGTATAGCACATGCTCTGGGGAATTGATTCTACTTTCTATAGACACCGATCACATCTCTGTCGATAGAATAATAAAAAAGCCTTAAGGTCCCAACCTCCTTTGTTTACATTTACAAAAACGTGAAAAAATGACAAAAGTTGTCATAACTTTTTAAATCTTGAACTCTTGAAACCGATTTCACTTGCCAGCGACAGATACTTAAGTCGTTGACGAACCGACCATGTCAGTTTGGTTCGTAATATCTCCAAATAAACGATTTCAACATTTTTAAAAACTCGATGCTAGTCCACGTGTTAATACGGAATTGGTCGACTCAATAAGTAAATTCAATGAACGAAACGGTGCACTCGTGAATGAAATGAAGCAATTAAGATGATTACATAACCCGAGGTATGAAACATAATACCTTGAATACGGGTTTCAGTAGCATGGGCATTTAGTTTCAATTATAACGTCATTCGTCATGGAGAAGGTAAGAGTGTCATGCCGGTTTTGAAGGATGTACCAAAACCTTCGCAAGAAAATCATCTAAGTGCCAGCACTAGTATAGACACGGTGATAAGGAATAACGCATAAGTAATGACAACTATACTACAATTTTTATTTCACAAGGAAACAATATGAAAATGTAAGCTTCATTTTGCCGTATTAAATTAAAATGAACAAATGCACTGGTGATCCACTCGCTTACGCTGGTTACCAAAACGGTTCATTTTGGTAACAAAATGTCGGAACATCCGGAAGGTACGATTTTTCTCATTTCCTTATTTTACACGTTGTAGGCAGAATTCCCACGACATTTTTTAACACAAACGTGTATCAGTACCATATGTTTAAGAAATTGTACATATTTGCGAACAAATAGTTCAGAAGACAACAGAATCGACTGGGCATAAATATACCATGAATACTCCTCCGGAATCTGCCGCTCCGCCTATTCGTCTGGTCAGAATCCAAAATTCAATTCAGAAAATATTCTAGTTTCTATTTTCGATGACCGTTATCGGCTTCCAAGAGCCTAAAGAGCTCGAAATCGTAATCTATTTCCTCCACATTTTCGTTGTGATCGTATTTGTCCACCATTTTGTACGATTCGTTCACTAAAAACGACTAAAACACTGTTTAAATTGTTGAATTGAGAATTATTTTTCGAAATATCGCCATTTCTAGGTCAACAGGAAGTCATGTTAGGCACTGAATAAATCGGGCAATCTAATTGGACAATACGAATGGCGCGAAAAAGTAAAGTTTTTAAAAGTTTGAAATCGGGCGTACGGGTCCGCCGGCAGTTGTGAGAGACATTTTAGTCTCGGCGGACGAGTCCGCCGGAGGCACGCTAAAGGTTAAGTTACATAAACGGTTTGGGTTAAAAGTGCAAATCTTAACTGTTTTTCGAATGGAGATTTGTTTGGTGTCTATTGAAAGTAGAATCAATTCCCCAGAGCATGTGCTATACAGTATCGCCATGCGAACTTGCTGTGAAACATAATCTCAATTTCTGTAGGACAAGGTCACCATTTTTCATGAAATGGTATGATTTATTTCGTATTAATGTCAACAATTTCACTAATACGGAACGGTATACATGGGAGAGTGTTATGCTATCAACGGCGTCAAATCAAATCTTGTTAGAAAGTCAATCAGTTGTACAAGCACTTTAAAAATTACAAGTACGTATATAATGTATTGCTTGGTACATGTAGATCTATTGGTTATACTCTGAATAAGTACACAATCCAAGGTCGAAGTGTTTTTATAAAAATATATCCAAAAAATTTTTGACACCCAGTAGTCGAAGGGTTGTAGGGTCGAAGGGGCGTAGGGTTTTTAGTACATTCCAGCTTCGTGACCCTCACTTTAATTAAACTTGCTGTTGAAACTTTTGTCTGGCTCCTTATATTATGCCTAGTGGCAAGACTCATCATGTGATTCATGTACATGTATTAAGCTCAATGCCCTCATCCATTTGTTCAAGCTATGCTATAAGACTATAAATCTTATTTCTTTCTTCATTTTTCAGATATCTGGGATCTAAAAAAGTTCAACTATCCATGGCCTGATGCAGATGTTGGTCTCATTTTTCGAAATTTCACCCCGGGAGATCTCGCAAAGGAGATTGAAGATTCTCCCATAAAGCATGCAGTCTTTGTGCAGTGTTTGAATGGTTCTCCAGAGGAAGCAGGTACATGCATATATACAGGGTGTCTCAAAAAATGTACCCAAAAGTATATCAAGAGCACAGATAAACCAATCAATATTTCAGACATTTTTATTTCAGTCTTGTCTTTTTGATGCTTTAACCCTTTACCTTTTACACCACATAATTGATGTATTAAACCTCATATTTCGATGACAGCCTGTATCCTTACTGCTACATTGTACATCACATTTGATAATAATTCCAATAGAATGTTTTGGATTTCTCTTTGGATGTTGCCCTTAAGTTGTTCTAAGTCTTTTTGCTTGGAATGGGCATTAAAACACTCCTTCAAATAGCCACAGAGAAAGATGTTTGCGGATGACGATGGCAGAACAAACACAGATAATCAGGTCAACTATCGGCAAATGATTCAGGAGTTACCTTCCAGAGTTAGGCAGGCTAGCCTGTAGACCAAATGATATCCAAATGAATCAATTTTCACCCTAAAAAGTATACAATTATTCGTAAAATGTGATGTAGATTATAAAGGTATAAACATTTGCAAAGCATATACAGCAGTATTAATGTTTTGGTCAGTTGTACTCCAGGTCGTTAGGTTTAATAGCTTTTTACTTTGTTTATCAGAAATTTGCAGTCTTCAAGATGATGCCAAAAACTATCCAAACTTATAAACATCTTAACTAAACATTGCAAAATTTCCCATCAGTTGACTTCATATATCATTTCTGCCACTCATATCTCAAGAATAATCCTTTCGTTTGATTGGCTCTAGATATAGTTCATGCCTAAAATCTGCTCTAATATGATGATAAAACATTAGAAATTAAACAGTTGATTTGTGAAATATCACACTGAGTTCAAAGATCACTAAAACAACTGTTATAATACAAATATAAACTAATCAAAATAACGCAATAATTATAAATATGAGTAACAGAATAAGATCATTGTGACATCAACTGATGTGAAGTGAAACAAGTAGACTGACCAACGAGGTCAGCTATGACTTCGTCACAAACACAGTGTCCTCAAATTGATACACACAACAAAAGCTACACTAGAATCCCAACCAATGCAGTTTCCTGAACCTCTGACCTCTCTGTATAAGGGGGCTGTAAGACATTGTGAGGGCCTCCCTATTCCCCATATTTGATGGCCAATACTTTTTTCTCTGTGGCTATTTGAAGGACCATTTTTATGCTAAACCCAAGCTAAGAGACCCAGAACAACTTAAGACCAGCATCAAAACAGAAATCAAAACATTCCACCAGAAATATCAAATGTGGTGAACAATGTAGTAGTAAGGATACAGACTGTCATCAAAATATGAGGTTACATTGAATATGTGGTGTAAAAGGTAACGGGTTATAGTATCAAAAAGTCAAAACTGAATTTAAAACAGTGTATAGGGGAAAAAACTTTCATCTTTTATCTACAAGACCATGCAAAAAATGTCTGAAAATATTGATTGGTTTGTCTATGGTGTTTGTCTATACTTTTGGGTACATTTTTTTGAGACACCCTATATGTGTGTAATTTTTGAAGTTTTGTGTAATGCTTGAAGCAAAAGCTAAATAGTTACATTGTCTTTGTGTCTCAACCACTCAACTGCGCTTAGGTTGGCCTGACCTTTTCACATCAGTTCTTCATTCATCCAATGTTTTCATTTAATTTTGTATAAGATCAAAACCAAATAATTGTCTTCCATCGAGCAACTACTTAGTGAAAGGCAATGTTGTATAAAAAGCCAGCAGACTTTTTGAAGAATGACTCAGTCAGTCTGTCTGTCTCTCTATTTACACTAGGCTTATATTCCTTCTTATTTTGCAGAATGGGTGTTTAAACAAGCTGAGGAATTTCCTTTCATTAAAGGTGTTGTGGCAGGTTTGGACCTGGTAGATTCAGAAAATGTGAGTACCCATCCTTAATTCAACTGTCAAAATACCCATTTATCCATAACAGTGCAAATGATATATATTTTGATTGCACGCAATTTCTGACCACATTACATCAGTCTACAACTGATTAAAATTCTCTTGAGAACATAAGATCAACCAAACTTGGATCACCCTGTCATAGAGTTGACCATAATGTTGACCTACACGTAGTCTTTATTTTTATCACACTTTGCAATCCTATAAACTAATGTATTTATTTTACATAGATTATAATCTTTTACTTTGAGGTTTCAGTTCCTTATATGGAGGAATCAATTCTTAATAGAAAATAATGAAAACAGCATTCCGAACATTATTTTCGATAAAAAATTACTTGTGCTATATTGTTTTTATTGTATTTTGGTCACCCAGTACCACGAAAAATCCCTCCGTGCTGATCAACCTTGAACCCTCCCATATCAGAGATGCTAAAAGATCCAAAAAGAGAGAAGACAAATTTAAATAGGCAAAGCAAAACTTAAGGCAGAAGAAGATGTATTTTAATAGTTCATCTGCACATTTAAAAAAGTTCTAATAAATGTAGTAAACTAGCTTACAAATACAAACTAACAAATGTTGGTACATATTCCTGAAAGCAATCACATCCATGTGTAGACATTATAACAGAGATAAGTTTAGTTCAGTGTAAGAGTAAGTGCCCAGATCACAAAGCTTTAGTGTGTAGAATTAGAGTTACACATGTAACTAAACAAACTGAATTGCTTCATGCCAGTGAAAGTGATGTACAGGGTGTCAAAAAACAACGGCAACCCCCTCTACAGCAAAAAGTCCTTAATGTTACATATCGTGTCATACCTCTCTTGAAAGATAATTTCATTCTGGAGTTACTCATCAAATTTCATTTAATAAAACTTTATATTAAAAAAGCTACATTGTTTCAAAGTTTGCTACTTCCGTACTTTGTTTGCTGCTCTGTTACTGGTTAAAGGTCAAATCTTAAGAAAATAAAATATGAAAGACTTTTCCCAGATTTCAACTACACTGAACACATGGGCTCAGTTATGAAAAACAGGGTATAGGAATTGATGGAAAAGGAGCCTTACATCCAGTAAGGATGTAATTCTGAAGAATGTGAGGAAAGTGCTAAGAGGATCATGCAATGCTACACCTTTATCTGAATTTTTATTGAAATCATATCCATCCAGATAAGCTGCTGTTCGAGCAGCAACTGGTGGTCATACCAACTACTAAAATTCAGCTGTAAATCTGTAGAATTATATGATATAAAGCTGATATTTCTCAGGTAACTCCAGAATTAAATTGTCTTTAAAATGAGATATGACATAGCATGTAACATTAAGTACCTTTTTCTGTAGAGGGGGGTGTCGTTGTTTTTTGACACCTGTACTTCATACTCTATCAGTCAATTACTTAAAGCATCATGAATTCTGAATTAAGTGAGCAGTTATTGTTCTACTCCTGCTCAATTGATTAGTTTCGCATTATATCCATGAATTGTGTAACAACATACTCTCAAGGGTGTCACAAAGTGATTGTCAGATTGGTGATTAAATTTATTTTTGTCCTGGGATTGTACACTAATGGAATTAATAGTTTGTATCAATATAGGATGAGGTCCATGAAGACTTCAAATTAATATATTTATCCCATCGAACGAAGTTCGGAGGGATATAGGGAACGCCTCCGTCCGTCCGTCCGTCTGTCTGTCCGTCCGTCGGGGCAATAACTCAAATACCGTTGGCCTGATTTTGTTCATATTTCACTTTTCAAAATGGCCGCTCATTTACAAATGGCGGCCATTTTAGTGCTGATTTTACAATAATTTAGGTACTGCATATAAAACTGTAATAGCAATATGTTTTCAATGTAAAAAAGTTATATAGGACATTTATTAAGCTAGAAATGTAAATACAGAAGAAATTCATGGGAGCCATCTTGAAAAATGGCTGCCTTTGCACGTCATTTTACAATTTTTGCTGTAACTTGAAAAGTATTGGAGCGATTTTGTTCATATTTGGTATGTGAATTATTTGAACATGGCATAATGTTTAATTACATTTTTGGTAGTAGGCGGCAATTTTGAAAAATGGCCGCCATTTTTATGTGTGTTATTTAACGTCTTTTACTGTAAGTCAAAAAGTAGTAGAGCGATTTTGTTCATATTTTATATGTGAATACTATAAGCATGGCACACTGTCTAATGACACTTTGGGTAGTAGGCCGCCATTTTGAAAAATGGCCATACTTTGTTCATATTTGGTATGTGAATACTTATGAACCTTGCACACTGTCTCATGACACTTCACATAGTAGGTTGTCATTTTAAATAATTGCTGTCATTTTTACATTTTTTACTATAACTCGAAAAGTATTGGAGCGATTTTGTTCATATTTGATATGAGAATACTTGTAAGGATTGCATACTGTCTTATGACATTTTGGGTAGTAGGTGGCCATTTTAAAAAATGGCCACCATTTACATGTATGTGTGTGCAATTTTTAAAATTTTTTACATGTGGCTACTTAAAAGCATATTACTTCTGATGACAACTTGGCTAGTGAGCAACCATTTTGAAAATGGTGGCCTTTCTTATAGATGTTATTTTACGATATTTGCTATATATTTTGTTTGTAAAAATGCCAGCCATTTCTGTTCGATGGGATTCGCTACGCTTTGGCGTTGCTGTTGTTCTGGTTTATGAAAATCTTTTCCAGCTGAAGGTTGAAAAAAGTAGCTGCAATGTGAAGTAATTTTGAAACACAAAATAATGTCAGATTATCTTTTCCTCAAATAACCAATAAATTGTTGGGTTTACGATGAAGGTTGCAAGCATGATTGCCAGAATTTGTCTTGTTGGCATTCACCCCATTGCCCAATGGGCAACCAATTCTTCCAAGTCCCTGAAAAGTTATTTCATGATGGCAATGAGGCAACAGTTATTTCAAACCTTCATTATGGTCAATTTGAGGCCATGTTCTGGATATGACATGCCAAAAGCATCAATATACAAGAGGCCACACAATTTGTAGCTAATAGCCAGCATCATCTCTGATCCAAGTATTTATTTATTTTATTTTATTATTATTATTTTTTTAGATTGAAATTTTGTTACTTTAAAAGTAGCACTCAGTTTCTTTCCTGATGTAAATCTAGTTATCTCAATATAAGGGTCCTAAGAAGTTTTTATGTTAGAAATATATAGTGTTATGTCATATTTATGTCTGTTTATCGTCATTTGCCATTCATTCAGCCATTTAGTTTGTATTCTGAAATATATAGGATCGCTTCATCTGGTTTAAGTAATATAAGTTTCTGTGGAAAACGATTACAAGTCATAAATGTGATTTAAAATATTTTTTCTGTCAAACTCCGTGTCTACAGTCACATGGATTTCTCAAACTGTGTGCCTCATATTTGCAAACTGGATGTATATTCAAGCTTGTTTTATAATTCCAAAAACATTAAATGCCATTCCCTGAGCCTTTCCCTTTATCGGAAGATGCTGAAATTTTCCTGATTCTCTACATAAGAAAATGTTAAATGTAGATGACAATATAACTCTCCAGAATAATGCCACCTCCTTCAGATTTAAACACTTAGAAACAACCAATTTTACTTTATAAATGTGCATATTGTTATATTTACTGGCAAATTCTTAAATAAGTCATGAAAATTCCAATGATAGGCAAGCAGTTTGGATAGCATATATACGCAGTTTGTGATTTCTTGCTAAAATAGGCACGCAGTTTTTTTCTATTTTATCACATGATCACATGAAAGCTACCAATCAAATCACTAGATTACTAGATCAGATTGATCCACACTTTAATGAAAATGCAAATACAATTGATAAAATGATCCACACTTTTAATGAAATTCTATTAATTATAAATACAATTGATAAAATTGATTCACGCTTTATGGAAAATACAAATACAATAAATAGAATTGATTCACACAAATACAATTAATAAAATTGATTCACACAAATACAATTAATAAAATTGATTCACACTTTAATGAAAATTCTTTTTAGGAAAATCCTATTAAATACAATTCGAACATGACTGTGTTCACGCCTTCTATAAACTGTAAATAAAGTCAACATTTCACCCAGGGTATATTCGCGAAGAATACCCCTGGTAATGCGTGTAATGTGTGATGTCATAAAGGCTGGTCACAGTCGGACCATAATGAATATTTGAATCATTTTGGTGAGTTTTCATGTTCGAATCGTAATATAGACCTCAGAGCAGGGGTAATATCGTAGAATACACCCCTTAGGGCTAGGCACAAAAGCTTTTGAACCCCGCACTCCCTTCGGTCATTCGGGGTGCAGAAAACGTTTGTGCCTAGCCCTTCGGGGTGTATTCTACTGTATTACCCCTGCTCTTTGGTCTATATTTCTTAAATACAATGGATCAAATTGATCCACACTTTAATGAAAATGCAAATACAATTGATAAAATTGATCCACTTTAATGAAAATCCATTTATTAACAAATATAATTGATAAAATTGATTCACGCTTTATTGAAAATACAAATACAATTGATAAAATTGATTCACACTTTAATGAAAATTCTTTTAAGGAAAATCCTATTAAATGCAAATACAATTGATAAAATAAATACAAATACAATTAATAAAATTGATTCACATTTTAATGAAAATTCTATTAAATACAAATACAATTGATAAAATTGATCCACACTTTAATGAAAATCCATTTATTAACAAATACAATTGATAAAATTGATTAAAACTTTAATGAAAATACAGATACAATTAATAAAATTGATTCACATTTTAATGAAAATTCTATTAAATACAAATACAATTGATAAAATTGATTCACACTTTAATGAAAATTACATTAACTTCTTGACTCGTCACCTCAGAAATGACCTTGAAACCCAGAGAGACAAGAAAATCCGTCACAAAATTTTTCACAAAAATTGCTCTTATTTCAACAATTTTCACCCAATTTGCACAAAAATTGTTTTAAAACGTGTAGAAATGATCTCTGCTATCTAATTTTACTAAGTTGAGTACTTAAGTTGTATAGGTATGTAGTAAATGTCAAAAGGTGGCAAAAATGAAAAAAATCTCTGGTTTCAACCGATTTTAGAGCCTGGGATTCAAGAGGTTAAATACAATTACAATTGGTAAAATTGATTCACGCTTTAATGATTATACAAATAATAAAATTGATTCACACTTTAATGAAAATTCTATTAAATACAAATTCAGTTGATAAAATTGATTCACGCTTTAATAAAAATTCTATTAAATACAAATATAATTGATATCTATAAACTTGTTTTCAAAGTGCTAAATAACATTGCATCTTCAGGGTTATTTGATTTCTCACTCAATTATTTCAGGAAATTTGAAAACATTGTATCATATTTCTGTCAGCCTCTACTAAACAATAGAATCAAACAGTTTTTTTCTTTTCTGTCTATTTCAGTTGAGTGGCGTAATAGAGCGTTTATCTGTAAATCCTTTGTTTGTTGGTGCTCGCCACATATTAAGTATGGAGCAAGTAGACTACATAGCACATGAAGATGTCATGAAAGGTTTAACAACCCTTGAGCAGAAAGGAGTTCCATTTGATTTACTTCTCCAGTATGTATTGTTAGTACAGTAAAACTTGTTAAGTGGAACACTTTTGGTACATCTAAGTGTTCCAGTTTGGGGTTTTTCCATTAATAGAAGTTCATTGAACATTAATTATGTCCATGGGTTATTGGACTCCAAAAAGTGTTCCACTTACAGAGGTATCATAACTTTATAAATTCAAAAGTCTGTTGTTCTTTAATTATGATGTTGTAAGTCTACAATGATTTATGAATATCCTTTGCTTCAAATGTTACAAGAATGCACCTCAGAAAGCATTTATAATGCAATTTGTGTTTTTAGGCCACCCCACTTGAAATACATTCCTGCCATAGCAAGACAACTCCCAAACCTAAAGATGGTGGTAGACCACATAGCCAAGCCATACATCAAAGATGGAATCATTGCTGGATGGAAAGAAGATATGGCAGAAATCGCTAAATTCCCCAACATTTATTGCAAAATGTAAGTTTCTTTGCATATTTAGGCCATGAGTGTTACTAGGAATATTAAGCAGGCGAGGCAACAGCTTCACAAAAATTTCACAGAAATATAGTATTTAGATGTTTTTTTAAAGATTAGAATTAAAGATGAAGTAAAATGATTGTGATAGTCACTCTATTATCCACCCGTCCACCCGTGTAGCTCAACGGTAGCATGTGTACCAATTACAGAATTGGTCCCAGATTCAATCCCTGGTTCAGGCAATACCGTATTATCTCTATTAAATGCACAGTGCACTTAGCAAATTCCTGTGGGGGAGAGGTTTCAACCAGCTAAATCCCCGGGAATTCTAAAAAATTATGATGGTGGGCGATAATGGGTGAAAATTTACTTCTATACCTTAAATCGATCAAATATAGTAGATATGTGCGTTTATTAGAGAGAATATGCTATATGTTATGTTTTTACCTTGAATTGTGAGCTCCTAGACGACAAATTTAGTATATAAATACACTATTAGATCCACCCCTAACGCAATCAGATTGGTGGTTTGTGTACCTGCGCAAACAAGATGCGCAATGCACTTCACACAGAAAATGGCTAGCGAACACGAAAAAACATTCCATTTCGAGTCCACAATTAGGGAATATCATGAGTATAAAGATACATGTGACATTAAGATTGGAGAGAGTGTATACTGCTGCATCGATGAAGATAATTCATATGACAAAAATGCAACATTCGTGAAGAAAAATGATAAAATTGGAGGACATGTGCCAAGAGAGAACGCCAAAATATTTTTTGAAACGAGGAGGGACAATATCAGGAAAGATCGCTGGAAAGAGGCTGAATAAAGGCAAGGGATTAGAAATACCTGTTGTATATGTATTGAAGGAACATGCTGCTGATATAAATAAATTGGAATCGCTTCTGAAATCGACACAATAAACCGGTAGGTGAAAATACTCTATTATCGCCCACAATGTTTTTTTTATTAGAGCTTCATCAGATCTCAATATTATCTGGACAGGACTTTCTAACCTGGGACAAAAAGTCGGGTGTGCGTTTATTAGAGAGTGTGCGTTTAATAGAGATAATACGGTACTTGTTTGCATAAGGAACTTCGGGGTGTTTGATTGAGTGGTTCACAACTCATACAAAAGGCCGTGGTGTGTACTTCTATGACTATGTATGAGTGCACCTAAAAGGTCTGTCTTCCAGGATTAATTAATATTTAAATTTCAACTGTACAATATACAGGATATACCCAAGAGGTATTGCTCACCTTTATTGGTATTATATTAGTATGATATTATATTGCAATTTATATGGTTAAGTTGCATCAATTAATCATCGCAAAAGTATGATTCAATTTCATGTTTGCTATTTTGTTAATCAGAACAACTCGAAATCATTCATTTGAAATTATTTGAAAACAAATAATTGTGAAATATGAAGTTTTGCAAGCACTTATATAGTAAGCATGAGTGCAGTAGTATAGTGTGGGTTTTTTAATTAGTTAATTAGAATTGTGTTTTTTTATTTTCATTTTCATGGACAACATTCTCTTTTCTCACTTTGAAAAACCTGTTTCATTTTGCTCTGATCACATGTTGAAATATGATAATTCATTCACGGTTATGTTTTTCAACATATACAGCATATGTGCAGCAGAACCATTGAACCAATGAAATCACGTGTTTCAAAATAAGTTAATGATTTCCTCTTGTTATTTCTCATTGGTGGCTAGACTAGAGATGGTAATTGAACAGTTAACATGTATGGTAAAAGATCTAACAAGTGAAAAAAGAAACTATCCCACTATTTTCAATATGCTATATTGTCGTCATCTTGTTTTAATGGCATGTGGTATCATGTGTTTAGCCTGCATAATATCAAGTTTATGAAGTTCTTGGTTTCTAAATTTTATTAGTCTCTTCTCTAACGTCTTTAATCTGAAAAATGCAATAACAAAATAAGTTTTGAAATAAACCTGTAGTTAATATGTAAATAAATATTTTTTCATTGATAAAACCTGTAACTTGCATCATTGACAGACTTTATTAACTACCTGATACACAGGTCCATTTACATAAAGACCAAAATTAATTGTCTGATGCCATTGGATTAGTATTCGTCTTACCTGTTGATTAGGAACATCCAATGACATCAAATCTCAAGGATATATGCTCTTGCCAGCTTTGAGGATTTATGCGTACAAATCTTGCAAACACAGGTGGTTCAATCGTGTTAGTTACTTTGGTGTTCTTGTCTACATTCCCTGGTAGAACCTCAAAAAGAAACAAGACATTTGACTGGCTAAAAGAAAAACATTTGTAATGCTTTCACAAAGTTTGACATAATTTTCCATTTGAGCTGGTACTACTTATATACTGGTAGATATTTTAGCCAAATCATTGGACACTGATTCCAATAGGAAATTCATTTGTTTATAAAAAGTGCTTAACATCAAAGGTAATGAAACAAAATATTGTAGGAAGTCATGTTTGGAACTTGTAAAAATGTTCTATTACCTTTCCATACTCTTCCAAATCGTTCTCCATTATACCATAGAAGAATTTGTATGACTTAATCCATTGAATTACAATGTCACCTTCTCTTCCTTGAGTGACTACCTCTGTCACTACCATAACTTCACTAAGGTCTGCTTGGATCCATTGGTTCAAATCACTGATTTTTGCAGACCAGGCTCCCTCCAGGTCTTTTCTGGAATTAACATATATCATCTATGATGTTAACTTTTTTTTAAATTTTGGCTTTACTAGACTGTACATTTGGGAGGTCACATATGCTGGAAAGTTCTTAAGCGTGATATGTAAACGTAGAGATGGTAACCTTTTGAACAGTTGGTAAGCAGTTATACACACATACATGTATATATATACATGTAATCTGTAATAGGATTGGAAGTGTTTTCTCTAATGTCTGTGCATTGTCAGTAAACTTTATTACATAATCTGGATAGATTTTAATCTTCCAAGGATCACTATGATTTTCATTTGAAATATTCAAATATTTGAAATATTTGTATGATCACCATTCCCTTGTTAAAAGATGAGATGAAAGTGTGCATATCTGATATTACACTTCCAATCCTCAGTCTATCTAAACATGACTTTTGAAGATTCGATATGACAGTCTTTAAATGCACTTCACGATGTGAGCCCAGTACCCATGGTACTATTTATTCACTCCATGAAACCAGTCAAATCAGTATGTGAGGAAAATAGGAAAAATTCTGAAAAAGTTTACAATGTTTTTTAAATGCATCCATATACTGGATGGGCCAAAATATGTCCACATTTTGTTTCAAAAACAACTTTTTTCAAAGATGTATGGATTTCAATAAAGTTTTGGCAGGATATGCAGAAATCAATTTTGCAAATGCTGGAAATGGGATAGACAAATCTCCAAGGAGTTTTGAATAATAGAGGTAAACATACACTAGGGGTCTGTTTGAAGAATTGCTGATTTCAGGATGATATTTGAAGCAACAATTTTAGAATGATATTAGTCATGCCTCAAACAACAGTACCAGATTGACATTTTATATATTCAGGCAAAGGAACATGTTATGTATGAATTGAAACATTAGGAATGTATTGAGACTAATAGCGAGGTGGAAACGATAGCACAGCCGCAGACTGCTACTCGCGTTACTGTTCAACGCAGTTCAGCGCCAAAATGGAAGGACATCCGGCAGTGCCTTTCACATCGATTGGCAAAACTCAGAAATCCAGGTATTTTAAATGCTATTTTAGTGTTCATTCGGTGACTGAGAGATTATTTTGTATCCATTGTGGTTATGTTAAGAAAATAAGCATTTGTCCAGATTAAGCTGAAACAGTAGCAAAATTTTACAATATAATTCTACAATACATTTGAAAGATTTTCAACGAGTTTCTGAATATTTATAGCTTGATTGAAACTCATGTATGAATATGTCAAAGTACGAGTTGTGAGAATGTGTTTATGAGGAGAAAATTACATACTTTAGATTCAAACTGGGCATTCACAGTGGATGCAGTCCAGTAAACGTCCTATTTGCCTTTGGCTGGGCTGTGCTTGCATTGGTTTTTTTTAGCTCACATGGTGAGCTTTTGCAATCACTCACTTGTCCGTCTGTCTGTCCGTCCGTCCGTCTGTCTGTCCGTCCGTCAACAATAGTGGCACGTTTTAAAACCTCTGTCGATAGGATTCCTGTTTTAAATTATTTCTGTTCAACATCAATACAGAAAACCCCCCTATGACTCCTGGTTCCAAAGCTCGCCTATTTTCAAAATGGCCGTCACTTTTGTCTCGCGAAATTCACTTTTGGCCCATTTGCTAGCTAACCTCTGTCGATAGGATTCCTGTTTTAAGTTATTTCTGTTCAACATCAATACAGAAAACCCCCCTATGACTCCTGGTTCAAAAGCTCGCATGTTTTCAAAATGGCCATCACTTTTGTCTCGAGAAATTCACTTTTGGCCCATTTCCTAGCTTTACAAACAATTTCAGGTGTCCTACCTTGTAAAAATCCACGTCAATGTAAAGATTAGATATATGAAATAATTTTGTTACAAAAAATCAGCAAAAAATTGTATCCATTTTTTTTTATTTTCAGCCATTTTAGTTTACATTGATTTGTCTATCTGACTCGCGAAATCAACTTTCTGTCAATAACAGTGGCACGTTTTAAAACCTCTGTCGATAGGATTCCTGTTTTAAGTTATTTCTGTTCAACATGAATTCAGAAAACTTCCCTATGACTCCTGGTTCAAAAGCTCGCCTATTTTCAAAATGGCCGCCATTTTTGTCTCGCGAAATTCACTTTTGACCCATTTCCTAGCTTTACAAATAATTTCAAGTGTCCTACATTGTAGAAATCCATTGCAAAGTAAAGAGTAGATGTATGAAATAATTTTGTTACGAAAAATCAGCGAAAAATTATATCCATTTATTTATTTTCAGCCATTTTAGTTAACATTGATTTGTTCATCTGTCTCGCAAAATTCACT